ACAGTTTCATTAGCATTGAAGTTTCGGAAAGAAAATATAAAGCACATTCATACCAGATTTCAGCTGCAAATCTTTTACAGTTATGCTATTTATCTTTTAGAATTGAAAAGAGACATGGATTAACTTTTCCCATGTTTGTTTCAATAGTAGACTCCTACCTTTGTTTATATTCTGTTCATTTGCTCTGTCGTATTTGACGAATTAGGCATATACCTTGCGAGGCTAAGCTTTCTATCCACAATATTTTATTTGACTGTTTTGGTTACTTTACATTTCTAAAAGGTACTTAAGGAAGTTTTACTTTACGGATTCTGAACATGGATTATTTGTTTCTTTTTTGAAGTCCATTGGTATACACATTAAATTGTGATACGTTTTTCTGTATCACTGATATGCCTCATTTGACTTCACAAAATGTTTACAAAATTATATATTTATATTCCATTACATTATTAAAATGCTTTTAACCGGAAATAAATTAACCCTTTTCTATGAATGGCATGAGAAAGGAAATAATCGTATATATATGTACTCACATCAAAAAAAAAACTATTATAACTTGATATTGTTTTATATTTATCTTATCTATATTTTTATTTTCTAGATACAAGATCCAGACGGAATGACTAATTCTAGACAATATTTACTGACAAAGGTAAATCGAGTCTGTATTTAATGACATTTGCTGTTTTGAAAATTTTAATTCTAAGCTAGGTTAAAAAAATCTATTGAATGAATGTTATTTATACTTTAACATGTCACAGAAGTATCACGAAATCTTAAGTTTTTTAGAGCGAGTGTTTTGTCTTGTACATTCACTCCAAATTAACCAAATTGAATTAATAAATTCATATTTCACTTTTATTAAACTTTATATTTCATTGAATATCAAATACTGAACGTTTCATTATTCAAACATACTACGCTTAATATCTTAACTAAATCTGTCCTCTTTAAATCTGGTCAAAACCATTCTGATCATCATTTAAAAGAAATACCGAAACATACACTAACGGCACGGGTGACTAGTATTGTTCTTCACTGTAAGTATGGCTATCGTTGACTCAGACAAAGATGCCCATAAAGGAGCAGTTGAAGACAAAGACCTTCTTGAACTAGCAGCCATTGTTGGAAAAGAAAGCTTTCTTGATTTTTAAAGACCTCAAAGTTTCCGAAGAGTTATCACCAGAGCAGAAACAGAAAGCCCTCAATCTGATATTGGCATATACAGATAGGGTATTGGCAGGTTCCAAGAAAGAAGGAATAAAGGCATTTGACTGCATTTTAACAGATAAGGTTACTTTCCAATTCCACAAGATGTCAATTTGAATGGTTACTTCATGAGTTTAATCGAATAATGAGAAAATTACTTGACGGCTGCAGGGGTACTGACAGTTATTTTTATGATATATTTGGATATACAATCACTTGGGAGAGCCACCTGCAAATGATTTAAGATAACTTCCAGCAGAGAGTGAGACATGCAAGGCTTACCATTCGACCTTCGGAATGCATTGAAGGTTTCAAGAACATTTGGAGTCACATTGTCGGGAACGTTGTCTTGCAGATGAAAGAAGATAAGATCGAATGTATTAGACAAGCTGAGATTTCGAAGACAAAGTACCAAGTTCAAGCCTTTGTGGGCCTGGCACGGTACTATCGAAAGTTTATGCCATTGTTTGCAGAAGTTGCTTCACCTCTGGCTGACCTGACGTAAAAGGGTCCTCCTAACAATGAGACTTTGGGAGATGCTCAGAACAAGGTGTTGAGAAACTTGAAAAAACAACTGACATAGGCTCCGATCTTAAGACTGCTAAACTTCAATGGAGACATTTTGTCACTCTAATGTTGAAATAGGAGTTGCCTGGCTACAGCAGTACGACGATAGTCTGTTTCTTGTAGCATTTGCCAGCAAGAACTTGCAACAGCGCGAAAGAAACTATACTGTTACCGAAAGATAATGCTTGCTTTAATCTTTGGAATAAAGGAATTTCAGAAATATCTTATGGCGATGGGAAAAGTTTGTAATTGAAACCGATCACAGTGCCTTGTCATATATTCAGAAAAGCAAGCTTGAGAATGGTTGATGAGATGGGCTCTGTTTCTTCAAAATTATCGTTTACGAATACAGGCGATCGAAGACTCACAGAACTTCCCTGCCGATTATCTTAGCAAACAAAATTCTGGAAACAAAGTGATCCCTCGGAAGCATTAATCACAACAAAATAACATAAGAATTACAGACTCGGTTTGATTGAGTCTGTACATGAGGGATAATAAATAAGTGCAACATCCCTCACGCCCCTAGCACCGGCTTGAGCGGTACTCAATTCTCAACACTTTATAGTGTTGGTATCAATGATCCCGAAGGACCAGAAAATATAACAACACTGAAGACACACAGATCACCGATATAGACACCCTAGATACCTTGGCGAAGAAACGCAGTGCTTAAATTAATCTTGACCGATTTTATGGAAGTATGTTTATTCCCTTCAAAGGAGGCGCTAATGTCAACATTGATTTTTTTCTTTTTTTTCATCGTTTTATTTTATGTTTAATTCAGCAGCAAGAATCTGATGAAATTTCTTTCTGTATCAGTTTTAAGATTTTTAGCTTAAGTTTTATTTGTATTTTATTTCATATTGATACATCGATTCAAACTCAAGTTAAAATTATTTAAGTACATTAAAGGGAACACATATTTGTTTCATTTTACTGCGACGTCGATTGTATTGTGACGTCATGTCAGTGGTTTTCAATCATGTTCGCGCTGATGCTATATATATATTGAACTTCATGTTCATTTGTAGAAAATCCGGAGGAAAAACAAGCAAATATTTTCTTGAAAAGGACCTTTCAGTATTGTCTAAAGAAGTCTTAGAGTTAAAGCAAGTCTCCAGAGTTGAAGCAAGTCTTCAGAGTTGAAGCAAGTCTCAGGAGTTGTAGCCAGTCTCCATAGGCGAAGCAAGTCTAGAAGTACAGCAAGTTCAGAAGCGCAGCAAGTCAAGAAGGGCAGCAAGTCAAAAAGTGCAGCAGTTCCTTAGACGCAGCAAGTCTAGAAGCGCAATAAGCCCAGAAGGGCAGCAAGTCTAGCAGCGCAGCGAGTCAAAAATCACAACAAGCCCACATATGCAGCAAATCCGGGAGCGAACCAAGTCTTGAAACACAGCTTATCATGAAGCGCAGCAAGTCAGGAAAGGCAGGAAAAATAGAGAAAATGACCCCTCAAGAAAGTCCAAAACGTCAAAATTGAAACTGTTGCAGGCTCGGTTGGATTGAGTCTGTTCATGGACGGTACTGTAAAGTGCAAACTACCGTCCACGGCCCCTAGCACCGGCTTAAGCAGAATTCAACATTTTATCATGGTTATGGTGAAATTTTGAATTAAGAAACATTCGCAGATGTTTTCATACGGCGGTTATTATGGACCCTTCAATGACACAATATTACAATGTTATTATGACACTTCCGCTCCATTCTATGAAAAGCGGCGTATTGTCCCCAAGAATATGAATGCGTGTGTTTTAAACAAGTAAAAAATGGGCGGAACTAAATAAAATGCAATTTTGAAAGGAGATCAAAGGTTATGAAGCCTGCATATCACAGACAAAACTTCAAAAGACAAATTTTAAAGCTGGCAACATATCCTAAGGGTTATTCAGCATAATTCAAGTAGGAATAATGGGATCATCTACCTAAACATGCCGGGAAGTAAAAACGGAAGTCATACATATTGTGATTTGTAATTGGTGTTGTTTATTGTGAAATCTTTACAAAGTTCACATTTCTTATCTAGTGTGTGTGTTATTTCGGCACGATTATTTGTACCATTGGTTATTTATAATATTGATTACTTGTTGTTTGTGTTTGATTATTTACTGTGGCTGTTTATATATTTAATGGCTTATCATGGTGCTGATGGTGGTCAATATAAATAATTATCTCGAGGTTTAAGTGAGATAAATAAAGGGTTGTTGCCTAGGCTTACTATGAAAAATGTGTTTATTTTCAAGTCTTCTTTCGCAAATAGTACACATAGAAGTAATAGAATAATAGAGAAAAACATCATCCCTAAAGAAGGCCCAACAAGATCCCCTTTCAAAATTCCATTTCATTTAGTTCCGCCCATTTTTTTCTTATTTAGGGCTCACGCATTCTTTGTTGTCAATATGTCTGATTTTTATGGGACACATGGTAATCTTAATTCCATTGCTGACTGTAGAATGTATGTTGGACCAAAGGAGCTGTTATGGAAACCACAGTGCTGTAAAATTTACTGTGGTTTCCTCAACAGCTCCATCGGCTCAACATTTTTACACCACAACGTCCCGTGAAATGAACCCTTTGCGCGTAGCCTCGACTCTGGAATTTCCGGCCTTCTCTTAACTTATAGTATATTTTAAGGGGGCATTTTTGTGGTTTTTGACACGTTTAAGATAAACACAGACTGAGGATTTTTATTAATGTGGTCATATTTTCTTTCCAGGTCCGATACTCGTGTCTATGTCCTTGCCCTGTCCACTGGACTTTTAATTTGGTAATAGAAATTAATTGTCAAATTCATTTTAGTCCAAACCTTTCCGACACCGTTCTGAATCAGCTGTTTCTCGGCTGACTGAATTTTTATATTTAAATAGAATTTTCCCCATAAGTAACATTTATCTAAATATCAAATTAATTTAAATTTAAACTTTTCTATTAATTTGCTTGTGTTTGCTTTTACTCCAAGTGAACAAGTAAACCTTCAAACATTAAAATATATCTTATGAACCCTCAGAGTTATTTCATTACTTATGGAAATACAACCAACTGTCACTGTTATTGCTGTTAATGAGAGACATTTACAGTCTGGAGTAATGTACTGTTTCTTTTACTTTTTGAAATCTGAAATGAGACGTGTGGTCTTTATGTTATGTGACAGCATATGCTTTTAAAGCTCTTCTATAATATTTCTAGAACCTTTGCTGATTAATCAATGTAATTCTTTTCATGTTTTTAGGTTTCGTTTTTAATCATTTTGGTCGTCGTAGTTGATTCAACATGTAGAAAACGATGTAGACTTGATCTTGAGAAAATTGGATACAAAACGGTATATGTTTTGCTGTCTTTTTCTTATAATAAATGGTTGTTCAAACAGCACAAATCATAGAAAAAGCATGTAATGAACAATATTTGTAATATGCTTCAAGGAGTTGATACGATTAATAAGCGTTTGCGTTTCTTTGATTAGAAAAGCCAATGTAATCACAAAAAGTGTTAATATTTTGGAAATAGAAATTCTAATCTAAGGCCCTTCAATGAAACCTTTAGATGTAAAGGTTGCTAATTTAAGGCCACAGTATGTAAATATACCACAGGGCCTGTAAAAAGCAAATAAGTAGGGACGTTAGAATCTTAATAGATATATTTCTAGTTAAATGACAATAACATCAAATATTTTAAAACAGGTTGATGTACGGATAATTCTTGTAAATCTTTCATTTGCCTTATATCAGTCTCAAGAATAACTGAAAAAAATTAAAGATGCTCATTTAAAAAATACAGTAAACAAAATTGTTTTGTTTTTGGCACTTAAAATAAAAATCAAATAATTTGTTTATAGTGTGTTGAAAAAGACACAGGATGTAAGAAAAGTCCGAGCGAAACAGAAAGATGTTATGAGAAGCTGCCTGGTATGAAATATTTTGATAATAAACTCATTGATATAGCAAGTATGTGTTGCGCAATATACATGTTGCTTGCAATTCTTTCATTTGCTACTTTTACGACATTCTTACAAAATTTAATAATATTTATTTTTGTGTCAAATCATATTCATAAATACTCTGATACTTGATAAATGACGAACCTCCGACATTTATAGTTTACATTTTTCAGCTGATATAAACTAGCAAAGGCTAGCACACACAAATCATCCAGAATCATGATCATGTTTGACATTTTTATTTAAGAACAAAACAAGGGTCGTAAATAATATAATATGAACGTACATTAGTCATAAGTAAAAGGGATAGATCTCATTTTAAAAAGTCATTCAGGTTAGATCTATATCAATCAATTCAAGGGTGTAATTTAAAGGTTTATTTCACGTTTCCATGACTTATAAATATAGATACATTTTGTCAAATTTATTCAGTCTTATTTATCCGGAATTGTTTTCTTTCACATTGTTTTATTCGCATGCGCACTGTTGCTATGGTTTAGGTCAGACTTTCGTATTGATTTTCTTAAGATTGATATTTACATTGAGTTTTCATGCTAAAGAGGTGAATACTCGTAAGAGTTGTTACGAGCTAATCGCAAAAGAGAATATAACGAAGCAACACATTTTACAATTTTTTAATTAAAGAAAAATAGTTATTTACAATAATACAAAAATATGAAAGTTAACTTTAACTCACAATTAGCCACGCTTCAAATTTCACAAAATTCCTAAAGTTTAACTCATAGTTTGAATTGTAATTGTCCACAACTCAAATTTAAGGTATTACCATCCGAATGCATTACCTCCGCTTTGAAGAGTATTCAAATAGGCTAGAACTGCTGTTAACTACACTGAAAATGAGGGCCGTGGGTTCAATCGCCAGAAGAGTCAACTTTTTTTCTTTCTTTTTTTCTTTTAACATTATTTATGTATCTCTCATGTCCAATTTGGAAAGAAAAAAAGTGTTTAATTTTGATTTTTTAATTTATATAGGTATAAATTGGCTAAATCTGGTAATAAATATAGTACCTGATATTTTCAAAGTGTAATAAAATCAAAACTAGACGGTAAAAGTATTTCATATTTTACATGATCAACCAATATACTTCTTTAAAAATTTAGGGAAACTTTGAAAACAGGCACTCATTTGGGTAAATTTTAAGGATTATTTAAAGTAAGCTCCCTTAGTAGGAAAATGGATAGACACGTGGTAAAAATAGGTGGGGTATGGTAACATTTTTATACAGATTTTATAAATTTTAAGTAGAAACCATAATTTTGCTTATGTGGATTGTTAGCTAAATGGTACTTTTTGTTTCTTACAAAAAATTAATGGGAAAACATGGTTCATTAGAATGTTATTGCAGATATTTTAAAGGTTCCTCATTTATAAAAAGGGCCCTCATAACATCCTAGCTTAAGTTCAGAAATGTGGCTATAACTTGATTTCCGTACGGTAAATTTTGTTTAAATTGTGCATACAGGTGTACTTCAAGGTATATATCTGACCTATGATGTCAATTTTATTGTTCCTTATAGTGCCCATTAGGGTCGTAATACCTTATCAATATCCAATGACCACAACAGAATATCACAATATGTCCAAAACACTCCCGAAACATAATAACAGAATCCAAACTCATATATTCCTATGTAAACAGTTCAAAGTACACAATCAGTATATCAAAATCACACAAAAGCACAAATTAGCACACACACACTGAAGTACACACATTCATGTTTGTTTCTTAAATTTGGTTGAACGTCACACCGACACATAACAGATCATATGGCGACGTTCCAGCTTGACTGGTAGAGGAAGACCTAGGTGCCTTTCCGTGCATTATTTCAGGCAAGGACGGGCACATGAGTAGAACCACCGACGTTTCGTAAGCTACCTTGATAGCTTCCTCCCATGAACGAGGGGCGTCCGTGGCCGAGTGGTTAAGGTCGCTGACTTCAAACCACTTGCCCTTCACCGCTGTGGGTTCGAATCCAGACAGCGACTTTGGATTCTTTCATGTGAGGAAGCTATCAAGGTAGCTTACGAAACGTTGGTGGCGGCATCTTTGATGTGCAGCATCAACATTTAACTTGTATATATTATATATATTATATATTATAAACGATATATATATTATTATATGTATTATATATTATACACGATAGATTAAACAATACAATAAACCATCATCATCCATTTTTTTTTATTTCTAGGTAATCAAAATTAGTTTGTTCCTGTTTTAGTGGTAGTAGCTCTGGGCCGACATGGGAGGACAATCAGCCTTGTTTTAATTATAAGTGTTGGCACAAGTGTTATAAAAGTGTTATATTCTTAAAATTAGAATTAGCATTTTCCTAATATTCTTAATATATGCATGGATGGTGACAGGAGGCCTATTAGCACATACATCTAAATTTCCTATAATAATAGTCTCATTCAATCCGAGTTTGCAATTTTGGGCGTTTAATAAGGATTTCGTTTTTCAATTTTGACTTGATAAAAAAATACACAAAGACCCCCCCCCCCCCAAGAAAAAGAAAAATTAAACATGTCAATCTATAATGTATTACAATTGACAAGGTTTATTCAAATGTTGATATATTTATATTTGACAATTATCTTTGTTATAGGTACAAAACTATCAGAAGATGTTATAAATGTGGCTTCAATCAGTACTACAAAATCACTTGGACATTACATTCCACTTGATGCTTTTACCGGTGGTGTGCTCACACATTGGGTCAGTGAACCAGATCCAGTACCTTATATACAAATCGTATTCCAGGAAGAATTGGTTATTGATTATATGATTATAACAGGATCTTCCTTAATTAAGTTAGGTATTCATGTTCACTTTTATACAGTTCCACATATAAGGATTATCCTTTGCTCTTTATGATAACGATAGTGCTAAACGTGAAAAAAAGTGTGAAAAAAGTAGTAGTTTATGTCTGTACCTTATCTGTCTCATTTACTAGTAATAAGTTTATCATGTCTATATTGAATTAAGAAATGGTGATGTAAGATACTTTATCAAAACAAAACAAAACAAAAACTAACCACTATTAAAAGAACAATTTAAATAAAATAATATCGATTTTAACACCAACATCAAACTAATGCCTTATGAAATAGATAAATACAGAATCCCTAAAGAAAGCACAAAAACCTAATATGAGTAAAAGAATAAAACTTGCAGATAAATATTTATTCTAAATAAATGATAAAGGTCTAGTAAATAAGCAAACAAAAATAATGCAGTTATTAAATGTAACAATCATATCCACTGAAAAGAAATTTTTCGGTAAAGCTGGTGCACGCATAATCTACATTTAGCTCTGAAAATGAACGGAAAACGAAGAAACGAAGGAAGGTGAAACTGCCATGTGCTAATGTGACGCATATTTTGTCACTAATATTCCTGTTTGAGTATTACAAACAACTAAAATATGTGATCTGAATCCTTTAACGGCATCAGAAAAATTGAACCATCCAGTGCAGTATAGCATCCACAATTATTAGGTTTATTGACACCGTGCACAATTATGTTTCTTTACAGTTTCATATAACCTAGAATATTTGGAAGTTTTCGTTAATGATATGATGATACCGGAAACAGCTTATTATCGCAACATGGAAACTAACACGGTCAAAGTTACTGGAAGTGAACGAGATGTGAAGAAAAGAAAATTCAGACGACCCAGGCCAGAGACTAATGGTGCTGACGTTTGATCCTTTTGGATACGTGAAATAGAAATTTATGTTTCGGGTAAGTTTCCATATACAATTATACAATAGAAATGCAATTTTACTCTAAATAAAAGACAAACCTTTGTTTAAAGGTGTTTAAATAATGGATATATAATCAGTGTTACGGTCAATTATATCTTTGATGAAGTCCTTTGGCGAATTAAGTGGTGGTCCACCTCCAGTTTTGTTAAAATACTACTTGAAGGCACTGTGTGTCTGCTTAGAAATACGGTTGAGGTTGACCCATTTTGTTTTTACCTCTTTGGTGGTTCTTAAGGCAGTGCAAGTCTCTGAAACTTTGAGAGCAATGCCCTTCCAGATCCTGTTCTTTACATTGTTTGGAACTTTGGGGCCTTCAAGCAGGCCTTTAGTTTTACTATATGCTGCCAAAAGGACAGATATTTCATTGCATGAAAAATTAGTGCTCCTGGCACGCCTTATTTTTTTGGTTTTCACCAAAAGTGTGTGATTTTACCGCTTCAGGAATACTGTTTTGTTTTTTGTTTGTAAATAGCTAACGAAAAGTTAACCAATTTAACATTTCGTTAACTAACGAAAATTTTAACTTAGCTCTGAACAACCAAAATTTTAACATTTCGTTAGTTAACAAAATGTTAAAATTTAACAACAGTTAAGTTAATATGTTGTTAAAGTTAACAAAAGTCTTGAACAACTGGGCCAATGTGTTATCAGAAGATAAGTCCTGTTCTTACACATTGCATTGCAAGATCATCTTGTCTAATAAACGGGAAAAACACACATCAGCTCATTGATTCGGATCTTACAGCTTTTTTTAAATTTGTTGAAAATAAACTGTCGGATGAAGGATATAATTTAAATGAATTTAATCAGAAAATAAAGGCGGTGATTCTGAACCATATGTCTACAAAAGAAGCCGAATCTTGCAAAGATGAAACAGCGGTTAAAACACTATGCAAAATAGAAGATACAGTTTGCAATTTGGAATTTCAGTGTGAATCGTTAGAGTTCATTCGAGTTGATACTCTTTAATGATTAATATGCTCCATAACATCCAACATCAAATTTTGGAAATAAATGAAACACCCTCTCGTCATATTTAGACAAACTGTCAGATGTCCTCAATTAAAGATGAAATCGTTAGTATTAAACGGCATGTATCGTTAGTTAACTCCCAAACATACGGCTCTTTTGACTCGCTTTTGCTAAATTCGAAAAACATTGAGAAAGATGTCAAAATACTCGCCGAATATATGCAAAGGGAACTTCAGTCATTTTTTGATTGCTTAAAAACAGTACAAAGAAAGGATATAAATCCGAAATCAACTGATAAATATACTGTAGAGAGGGATAACATTGTTACACCGAACGACACTCAGATAAAGAGATCAATTTCAGAAAAATTAACAAGTCCAAAACGTACAAAAACGCTAATTATCGGTGATTCTATCATGACAGCAATCAACAAACGAGGTCTACATGATACCGTAGATACATATTATGTAAGAGGAGGCACTGCCCATGACATAGCGCTACGACTGAAAAACGTGGAAATGAGGGAATTACTAAACATTGTTATCTACAACTGTCACAGCTGTGTTTAGACAATAATGCTAAACTGATTGACATATACAGCAGATTTGTCTATGGTGACTGCAGCGTAGCGAAACACCAATTTCTAAGGGATGGTATCCATTTAAGTCCGAGGGGTGCGCCTGCGTTAGTCCTGGAAATAAATAAAAGGCTACGCATAATCAAACAACAATCCTCCCCGAATTCCGATATGCGCGCAAACTGTAACCGATAGAACCAGAAACATGAACAAAAACTTGAAAAGAAATTGGCAAAAACATTCCTCGAAGCGGAGCAACGGGTACGACTTTCCCAGTGAAATGCGATATGGCGGAACCGAAAGAAGGAAATGCTTTGATCAGTGCTTTATCTGCGGAAGAATAAATCACAAGTCTAAAGACTGTTGGTATCTGAACTAGGATCATGCGGACAGACATTCTAAAAACAATTATAGCAATGACAAATACCAAACGTTGAATAAATTTAACAATGAATACATAAACAATGTTAGTGAACGTAATAAAACTACTTTATTAGAAAAAGAATCCAAAAATTAGATTTCTTCAAATAACAGTAACATTTGTATTCTAACAGAATATTGGATCGAGAAATGTGAGAGTAAAATAGTTTTATAAATGTAGATAATTTTACTTTGATTTCTTCTTATATATATTACATTTACATATCTGATATATCTCAAATAAGAAATAACTGTATAGTAATATCTCAGTCACACACAAGAACTTTTTAATTAATTCCGTAAAAAGAAAAAGTCGGTTTCGATATTTTCCTACAAAATAGTTGCAGGAAAACTCGTATTATGATTGGAGGCATGCACACTCCTTTTATTCTAGTTTATAATGTATGTTACGATTATATGTTGTATTCCTCAATAGATATTTACACATATGTTAAAATACGCGAAATAATATCGATTTGACAGTAAAAGAACGGAAATTTATAGACACTAATGCATCTTATAATCAAATTGTTTCTTTTGAACAATCAGTACCATACAATAAATAAGGAAATGATGAATATAATTGCAAAGTACTAAATATTGTTACGCACCATAAATCAAATTTTCCAGATAATAAATTGTTCAATTCTAATTTGAAAAACGAGTTTTTCATATTGCACACTTTAACGTTAATCACTTAATGCCTAAAATAGACGGAATAGAATACAGTATATTAAACAAATCAAATTCGCCTGATATTTTCGGCTTTACTGAGACATTTCTAGGTGATGATACAACAAACGATGAATTAAATATAAAAAAATTCACACACGAAAGAAAGGAACGTAAAAGTTATCACACAGGCGGGTAAATTGTAATATATATTGCAGAGAAGGTACCATATCGGCGCCGTTACGATATAGAAACGGACACATTAGAATCTGTTTGGTTGAAAATCATTTACCCTAATTGTAAACCATTTCTTTTAAAATTTTATACATCACTCACCAAATGTACACCAATCTTGGATTTACGATTATGAGAAACAACTAAGTATAATAGATATATTAAATATAAAATATCATATTCTAGGAGAATCAATAAGTAAAAACTTTTATCCAATGAATAAAAGGAAAAAATATGACAATACAAATTGGGGGGGGGGGGGGGGGGTTGATAACGAAATATGGTTTGAAACAACTTATCAAAGTACCGAATAGGATAACAAAACGTACCAAAAAATATAGACGACCGTGTTTATACAAACAGTAGCAGATATATTATTAAATCGTTTGTTTCTGATACCTCATTAAGTTATTATTATCCGATATGTATTTCAAGATCAACGAAAGCATGTACCCGATTGCTTAATGAACATAATTCAATTAAATATAGATGTTTTAAAAAACTTCAATGAAATTGATTTTCAGGTAGAACTTGCTTTATCCTATCTTGAATTAGTCGATCATATAATTAATCCGGATGAATCTCTTTGCTTATTTTACTCCATTTTAAATACTATATTAAAAAACAAACATGCACCAATAAAAGAAAAACGTATCAAACGGGAACACCGGCGGGAATGGTTTACTGATGAGATAAAATATCTAATACATAAACGCGATTACTATCATAAAGTAGGGAAACATGAACAATACAAGTTGCTCAGAAATAAAATATCATCAATGATTAAAAAACGTAAAAGAGATATTTTTAACAATGCTATTAAAAATAACAAAGACCCGGCATTTTTATGGAATAATTTAAAGGACGTTTCAAATCTAGATAAAAGGGTTGTATTTCAATTCCAGACAGACTAGGTAATAAAGATTAATTATCAATAATAGTTTTAAAGCTAATATTTTCCCAGATGACTTAAAAAGAGCTAGAGTTATACCTATTTTTAAACGGGGGATAAGAAG